TGGGGTGGGGATGGGGGGAGGAATGGAGGGATAAAGACACTTCTGTAATACCTTAATCAATAAAGAAAAAAATTAAATATATATATTTTTTGAAAACCATATACAAAGAGGGAAAGAAAACTGTCTCCTTTTAGAAAGACCCATCCCAGTATTTTGTTTTCACCAAGATAAACCAAATCATCTGAAAAGTAAAGGGGGAAAGTATCACAGAGAACAACAATTTGAATTTTTTAAAATTTGATGTTAAGCTAAAGGATTTATAATAATTTATTTTAATTCAAACTTTTTAAAAATATATTTTTGTTGCTTTCATAAAGGAAGGGAAAGAGAGAGAGAGAGAGAGAGAGAGAGAGAGAGAGAGAGAGAGAGAGAGACAGACACTGATGATGAGAATCATCAATTGGCTGCCTCCTGCATGCCCCTCCACTGGGGATTGAGCCTACAACCCAGGCATGTGCCCTTGACTGTAATAGAATAAAACCTGGGACCCTTCAGTTTGCAGGCCAATGCTTTATCCACTGAGCCAAACCAGCTAGGGCTTAACGTGAACTGATGTCCTCAATTTTAAACTGAAATTGAATCAATTTTATTGCGTCAATATTTAAAAATGTGATAGGCCCTCAGCCCCTCACTGCACTGGAAATGAGCTTTCAAAAGGACAGAGTGATACAGACACTAGGAAGTCTCTCCCCGAAATGGCCATAATGATACCACCATCAACAGAGCTTCATGGCCTAGAAGCCTGTCTCATTCCTGAATAGTTTTCCTCCTCATTCCAATGAGACCAGAGAAGGGCACAGGTACTGAAGAAAACGAGGGGTCATATTCCATCAGATACAGAGACCACATTGTACGTCCTCAGGCAAAGAAACTGTCTCAACATTCAAATGCACAAATAGCCCCGCAGGTGTGGCTCAATGGTTGAGCATCAACCTAGGAACCAAGAGGTCATGGGTTCAATTTATGATCAGGGCACATGCTCAGGCTGCAGGCTCAATCCCCAGTAAGGGTTATGCAGGAGGCAGCCAATGAATGATGTTCCTCTCTCATCTATGTTTCTATCTCTCTATTCCTCTCCTTTCCTCTCTCTCTAAAAATCAATAAAAACATATTTAAAAAATTAAAAATTAAATACAAAAATAAACAAAAAACGTAGTTAAAGCAGAAAACCATCTATTAAAAAAATATTCATCTATCTTGCAAATTTTCAAGAGGTGTACTGAAACCTATTTGATGTTTTATCTGGATCACTGCAAAGTGAAACCAAGGAATTAGCACTTTTCTAGGCTATTATTCTTTTTTTTTTTTTTTTTTTTTTTTTTTTTTTTTTTTTGTTAAGCAAAAACAAAGTTTTATTACAGAAAAGTTCCCTGCAGGTTGCCCTTTGCCCTCTATCATTCTTAGTGTTGCACTGTGCCCTGTGTTATCTTCTGTCTAAAACCATCTTCTCTTCTGCCCTGCAGCACTGAAGAACCAATATATGAAAGGGAATATAAATCTGTAGTCAAGCCACAAAAATCACCAATATTAGACAGTGGAAATCTCTAAATCATGGCAAAATAATGTTAGATTATAAATAAGAGAATGTGGATAAGTGTTAAATGAGTATGTTAAAATAATGGATACAGTTAAGACTATAAAATTATCTGATTTCATTTAACTAAAATATGGTATACTTAATAGGTTCCAACTTTTGATTAAGGAGATTCATTTTTAAACACAAAGAAGTTGAAGGATCAGTACAATGAATACCCATGTATCCTCCACTTAGATCTGACAACTGTTAGCATCTTTAATTTAATATCCTAATATATAAAGATCCAGGGTCCATCATGACCTAAATGACGAGATGGATGATCGAACAGCAGGCTACATGGGCCGGAGGCAGTCTTGGGTCCTGGCCACAGCGAGTGGCGGGAGTCAGTCCTGGGTCCATTACCAGTCAGAAGGCATCTTAGGGTGAGGACCATCACCTCAGCCAGAGCTCAATATGGTCACCTAGCCTGGCCCCTCCTCAGAGGCAGCTCCTTTCCTCCATGTATACTGCAGAGGACAGACAGGGTTGCCTAAGAGGCTGGGGCCATGGTGCTCCATCCCTATTCTACTCCCTGATCTCCTTCACCTGTGGCCCCCACAGAAGGCTGTGTAATGAGAGCCTTTTCCCAGCTACCTCTCACCACTATCTCTGGCCATCCCTCAGCACACAGGCGTATCGGCTTTCAAACTTGCCCTACTCACTTCCTCTCACCAGGGCCTCTGCTCTGGATGGGGCCTTTGGAATCCAGGGCTCTAGAGTTTTACAACATAGCTGGAGTAATAAAGAGAAAACAGCACCAAAGATGGCTGATATGGCCACTCACCTCTGCCTCAGCTTAACCAATCAGTTCAGCCTCAGAACGTGGCACTCAGAGGGGATCCCTACTTCCCCAGCAATGGTTCTAGGGCCTCAGCCCCAGTGCCAACCTCCTCTCCTTTTTGGCCCTCCCCACAGCTAGTGCTTGCTGTAGCTCTGTGTGCCTTACTTAACCACCCCTTCCTTCCCTGTTCTTACAAAGGAGGCTGCATCTTTGTATGTTAAATTCACATAAACTTTGTAACATTAAAAAAAAAAAATGATGACCAAGAGAATGCCACCGTCAATGTCTGGAGTCTGGCACAGGAGAACAGAGAGAGGGAAGAATTCCACAAGTTGGCCAATGCCAAGATATTTCTGAGTGAACTGCCTGGCGTGTGACAGTTGTGTGGCCACAGAGGAAGGAGTCCAAGTTTCTCAGCAGAACACTAAGGACTTCTTCCATGTTCTGAACCTTTTCTTTGGTTTTCAGAATTCCCTGCTCCCCATCTCTTGACTTCCTCCCTCTAAGGGGTGCTGTCAGCATTACATGGGTACAACTGGAATATTGTATCTCGAGAGGTTTGACCCAATGTACATATCCTTTTATCTGACAATGAAAAAAATCCCACCAAAGAATAAGAATGGAGACAGACTACTGTCCTTTAGGGGAAAAAAAACACACAAAAAAAACACAAAACAAACAAACAAAGAAAAAACACCCTGGAAGTGTCCTGCAAAGAGCTGAGACTTGGTTTTGTCCATGCACCTCAGAGAGACTGAATGAGGAACTGGTTCAGTTTGGCCCTGACTTGACCCACGTATGTTACTTTTGAAGGTGTCTTTGCCACAGTATGAATAAGCTGCCACCTTTTAGAATAGGGGCTCATATGAAAGGCTGCATGCCAACTTTTCTTGAAACAGATCTATGTTCTGCAGCTGTAGCCACCATCCTGAGACCAGGTCCTGTCGACCAGGTCCTGCTGCTGGGAACCAGGAGGGATTGGAGTGGAAGTGCCCCCGCCGCCTCGTGCCCTTTTACATTCAGGGATTGAGCTGAACTCACTTTGGGGGAGGCCTGGCCAGGGTGACAGGTGTCACAGATGGAAGGATGGAGAATGGAGAGGAGGACACCCTGCTTGGTACCTCCCTGGGTGGGGTCAGGCAGATGAAGGCCAGCCAGCATGCCCCACAGTTGGGTGAGATAGTGTCCTCTGTGTCCACCTCTCACCCTGTGTGCCCGGCCACTCCCCTCAGCTCCAGGAAGCCCTCTGAATTCCACAAAAGCATGCTCTGCCCTCACATGCTGCTCACCCTAAATGAGAAGGAAGAGAGCAGTTGGCCCACAGACAACTACACAAAAAAATAGGGCTCATGGCTGGCTAGAACAGTGGTGGTAGCAAGAACCTCTTCTGCCTCCGTGGCAATGTTAAGGAGCAGCAAGCGGATTGGTAAGGAGCAGCGAGCAGGCGGGAGGTAAGGAGTGAAAGGTCCCAAACTGCAAGAGGGATTTCCAACTGTCAGCTTAGGCCCATTCCTAAGCCAGCAGGCAGACATCCCCTGAGGGGTCCCGGGCTGCGAGAGGGTGTAGGGTGGGCTAGAGACCCCCTCAGTGCATGAATTTTGTGCACTGGACCTCTAGTCTACATAACCAAAAGCTCAGCAACTGGAATGGTGCAATGAACAGAACCGAATGACCAGTGGTTATGACATGCAATGCAGCAGCCAACCAGCCTGATCTGGGCCCTGATCACCCCCCGTCCCCGCTCTGGCTGGCCCAGCCCTAAATCAGCCCCTAATATCCCAATCAAGCAGGACCGAACCACCCTGGGCCCCTCCCCCCAGCCAGCCCTGACCCCAATCAGTCCACCCATCCCTATTAGGAACAGTGACAGACAACCAACCGCACACTGCCCCTCCCTCCTGTCAGCTCAGCTCAATGGGCCCTCATCAGGGCGGACCAGCCGGACACTACCCATGCATGAATTTGTGCACCAGGCCTCTCGTTGTAACGTAATTGTCAAGATTTTCAGTGAGCTCTAACTCTAAACATCTTTCTCAGTTTCATCTCCCAAAGTTTCCTTAACATACACTATCCCCCAATTGGAGAAAACTACATCCATAGTAGAATGGATTTCCCATCTGAGCATCTCATTGTTCCCTCTGCTATCAAGTCCTGTTCCCACTAATTTCTCTTTACACAAACATTTCTCTAGTTTCTCCATGTATGAACATTCTTTTCTTCAAGACAAAGAGCAAATGAAATCCCATGCAAGAAACCTTTTTTCTTCCACAAGCCCTTTTAGAATACAGAGCAACTCTCCTTGCTTTGCCATCCCCTACCGTGATGTAATTTTGCAAACACCGCTTGGTGCTCTCTAGGATAAAGGCAATTCCTTGTTCATCTGTATAATGCTCCTAGCAATTCCTGTAGGCTATACGAAATACTCCATAAATAACTGTTATTTATCTAAGGTGTATGTTTTTTATTCCAATTTTATGTTTCAAGAAAAAGTTAAATTATGAAAAGTATTTTACCCTATTATAATTCTTTTCATGCGATAATCCAGCTCATGTTCTCAAAAAAAAACAAATGTCGCTTGCTTGGTTTACTGTAGTACACTTAGGATGCGTAAAGCAATCTTTGAAAACTGTAAAATGTACTTACCTTCTCGTTGTTGTAATAAGAAATGCTAAAGCCATCAAATTTCACCCATCTCTTCTGAAACATGCGTTTTCTGTAAAACATATGAAATTGTTATTTTACATTTAAGTACCATGAACCGGAATTTTAAAATTGTTTGTAATGTGACTGCATTGAGTACATTCCCACTTGCTGTTCAACAGTGCAGAAAACAATAGTCTATAACAAGGCACAGTTTGGCAAGTGTACACAAAGAGAAAAAATATGTGTGATGGCACTTTCTAAGCATCTATATAGGAATCTAAAACAATGACACTGTTAACAGTATTGTCACCTACATGTGTAAAGTATTGTCACCCACATGTGTAAAGTATTGTCACCCACAATGACACTGTTAACAGTATTGTCACCCACATGTGCAAAACGAAGTGTTTTCAGATACCCTATGAGCATACCCTTTCCTTTTATGAAAATAACAGAACTTTCTCCCCTCATTAAGTTTAAAACACTTATTTTACCTCCATGTCTGCTTTGGAGAATGAATAATATTTTGCTAAAATAATAAAGCTTTGTCAATTGGTTTTATATAGATAAACTATTTAATTATGATCTAATAAGCTGAAAAAGCTCTGTTCACATAGAGAATCATTTACAGTCACCCAAAATTCATTAACATGTTTTTGAAAAAGAATCATATGAAAGGCAAATGCCATTTAAAACTGATGTTAAGATGAGGGACAAAGCAAAATAATGGCATCATGGGTTTCCAAGTTAAGCTTAAAAGAAAAAAAGAAAAACTTTTTCTGGCTACAAGGGAAAAGTAAAATAACATTTCTAGTTGGTCTTTTTTTCCTGTTCTGTCTCGTTTTAGTCTCCTTTTCTGAAGACAGACAATCCTGAAAGTTTTGAAGATCCTATTTACTATGTGACCTCTCAGTGCAGACTGACACAATCCAGATACTTATAGCTTTTAACACAGATATAAAAACTAACTTTTTGAAAAAATTCACCTCTACAGAAAGAGGGAAAAGCCACTGTCTATCTTTTCCTTTTACACTGTTCTGGCATGACTTTCTGTGGTTTTTCTAGAAGATTTAAAGATAGGAAAAAAATTCGGAATGTGTAGAGAATTTTCCTTCTGGGCTTTTCCCTGAGTACCTCACGTCCATTATGCCTCCCACACTCATCCTTAGCCAATTTATTCCGCTTAAAATAAAATTATAGAAAATCGGATCAAATGGAGAAAAATTTCAAAGTTCATCAGTGCAGACAGCATTCTCACATATAAGCACTGAATTACGACATCATAAGAATGTGTAAAGACCTCACGATCATAGAGCTACAATGAACTGACCAGCCCTCTTTCTTATTCCCTCTTCTTTAGGCTTCTTAGCTCCTAATGGTCTGCAATTGTTTTTCTTAATATTGCAACACCCACCAGGTTTTCACTTCTTTCAGCAACCCAAGGGTTCTCCAAATTCCCAGCATTAAAAAAAAAAAGTAAAGAACATTAAGCAAACACACAATAATAACACATTGAACAAAATCACTGCACATTCCTTTCATGCTGACCTCTGTCATACTTAAAGGCAGGTAAACACAACATCTTCCCAAAGGACTCCACAGTAATTCTGTAAAACAAAATTCGTTTGAGCCCTACCTGCCTTACATTGAGAATGACGGTAAAATAAAGCTCAGTAACATAAAATATTCCATTTTATTATAAAAGTAATCAACATTCATGGGCGATAAAGTCCTTAGAATCTTCCACTATGGCTCTATTCCGTTGGCTAACTACTCCTTATCTTCCAGAGTTTCACCTGTACCGCCCACACAGACATTCCTCCCCTGATAAGCCAGTTCAGAGCAGATCACAAAATTATTCTCCCTCTTTTTCCTCATAGCTCTGAATACAATCTCCCATTATAAATGTGCTGTATATTTGTCTACGTGCATAACGTCTTTTCTCCTTGTAACTCCAGCCCTTAGGTGATACAAGTACAAGAACAAAGTTCAAGAATGTTTAATTCTCTGCTGTATGACTAGCAACTAACCCAGAGAGAAATAGGACACTAAAAAAAAAAAAAAAAAAAAAAAAAAAAAAAAAAAAGAATCTGTGGAATGAATGAGTGACATGATTATGTGGCTGGCTCCTTATCTGTAAGATCTCAACTTGAAAGTGACTCCCTCCAGTTAGCCATCCCAGACCACCAGATGGATCCTTCAGGTCCCCTGGGTCTCCTGCTCCATTTCTTGAATCAGACTTCACAGATTTTGCAATTATATATCTGTTTTGCTTTATCCATTTCCCATGATAGATCTTTAGACACTTGAATATAGAAAAGATTTGTTTTGTTTATCAATGTAAAAAAAAGCAACTGCCACAGTTCCTAGTATATAAAGTGTGCTTAACAAATATTTAACAAATATATTTTTCAGTGAAAAATACTCCAATTTGCTTTCATAAAGAGAAAATAAACATTACTAAAACATTTTATCTTGAATATCCCTTTTTTCTCTTTTTTTCAAATACTAAAGACCAGGTCCTGAAATGACCATATAAAAAGCTCTATAAAAGCTCTGTAAAAACTCAATCAAAATTTCAACTAAATATTAAAAGAAATAACTTAAGAAGGATGTGTTTTTAAATGTCAATGTACAATTTTAAATCAATAAATATATTGGTAAATACTAAAGTTCTAAGAATTATCTTTTCTGAGCAATGGATAAATACTTCTCTCATGTATTTATAAAAGTCTTTTAAATATCAGGTAACTAATTCCACTGGAATTATGTAAAATTAATCTACTACACACAATTAGAGGCTGCTAAAGTACTTTAAACATTTTCTCTAATATAAATTATGTCTTCCCTTAAATTCCTTTTAACAGCTAGTAAATGTTAAAAAGAAAAAGACAAGACAAGGTATGAAATGCAACATCACTGATCATAATGTTGTGGCATGAACGCAAGTGAATGACCACTGGAGCCCAAACCAAATTAAAATTTAGGGAGCCTTTATTAGCCAGCTGGTCGGGCAACGGGGTGAATGCTCTGCCATTCTCCACGCAGGGAGACCAGAGAGCAGTCCCGTCCCTTTGTGCAGGACCACTTTTAAGCCCATTTAACCACATCCTGTTTTTGCAGAGCAAGTAACCCAAGACAAAATAATTTTTCCCAAGTAACGTCAGAGTCATGCCATTGAGGACCATGTTATTCACAGGGTCATCCTGTTCTTCAGAAAGTTGACAGTGTTCTATGAAAGAAGGCCTACATGCTGGGAAGGCCTGGCTTGGTGTCAGCACTGACAACTCTGTCTGGAACATAGTCCACAGCCTCTCTAGAAGCATGCTCAAAAATTCCCACTCTCCAACAATCACACAACACAAATTAGATCTGAAATAGTGATGAATTATTACACAGAGAAGAGATATTATAGCCTTAGTCAATTAGCAATTTATTTGGCACAATGACCTTGGTAAGAACAAACAACAAACACTTACACAGTACTTTGTTCTAGGCACTGTTGCAAGCCATACAGAACTACTCATTCATTGAATCCTCCACATAATCAGATAAGACCTATTATTATTCCCATTTTACAGCTAGAGGCACAGAGGTGCTGCTAGGTTTAATAATTTGCCTACATCACCTAAGTAAAGAGTAACTGGGAGCCAAACCCAGGCAAGCTGTGCTCTTAACCACTACTGAAGCCTGACTCAAGTACAGTTTACAGCACGAAATCCTGAACATCCCTGTCGGCAGCAATAACATTTGAACTCTACCCTTTTATATGTGAGTATAATTTTACGAAGTCCTTCAGAATTCCTTTAGGGGAAAAAAAGGTAAAGCAGACAAGAAACTTATTAGCCTAGGTTTTATCCTACTTTGTGTTTAGGGTCCTAAAGGGAAACATTTCTTTAAGAAGCATTTTTTACAGTAGTTCCTAAGGCTTGTGCAGTGTTATTGAACGGATTTTCTACAAACTCTTCCCTGGAGCTCTGGTAGGGCAGGGGGTGTAAAGTTCCAGCGGCTTTCATAAACAAACACTCCTTACCACCTGGTGCCAGTTTCTGTTGTCTCAAAATTATGTGTCTTAAAATTCTTTTTTAACAACAGTGCATATACAATTAAAACTGTATTTATTAAGTGCTCACGCAGAGTCACTTCTATTTAATATCTCCTAAGTGCCAGAAGAATTTTTTTAAGATGACATCTGCCAGCTTAAAAAAAAAAAAAATCCCAAAATCAAATGAACTTGCTAACCAATGATACCAATTCAAGGTGGCAGAGGCTACCAAACTGTCACCTTCAACTCTCACCCCGTTGGAATGAACCTCAAAGGCACTAAGTCAGAGGTATGGATTTTATTCCTCATGACACTTAAATCATCACAGAAGTACTTCCCACTCATCCTACAAAATATTTAAGAACAAAGATACTAATATGCTTTACCAGATTCATGGGCCTTGTTTACCTAATCCTGTAGAATTATGTGCTCATTGTATCTTATTCTCTGCTCCAAACCTTACTAGGCTGAATATGTTTTGAAACACCACTATATCGATAATTACCCAAAATACAGACTTTTATTGATATATTCACTCATTTTTACTTAGCTAATTATTATTTTACCTAATTATTACTTTAAGTCTGAAGCTTTTAATGATGCAGCATTAGTTATAAAGTATTTTATGGATAGAAATCCAAGGAGTTATATTTCTCTAAAACACCAACAGTTTTCTATTAGAATAGAATAATGCATTTCCTCACTTTTAAACAAACGCAAATGAGAGTTCCCAAGGTTATATGAGCCAAAATTGAGTTGGGGGCCAATAAAACATGAATATGTGCTAAAAGGTCCATGGAAAGTCAATAAAAAAAGCATGTATATGTGTGTGTGAATAGCAATGTTTACAATATTTACAAAGAACTTAGTGTTGACATGATATGGCATGAAAAGCTATGTTAAAAGATTCACACTTCTTTATTTTATGGCATCATCCTCTATTTTTTTTTTTAAAAAGACTAACATTTACCAGTTTCTAATTAAGACGATCACTTAAAAGCTTGTTTAACTCTACTTCTCCGAAA